GCCTAAAGGCATCTGTTCATTATAGATTTTCACTTTCTTAAGTATGTGTCCAATATCCCCAACATTTGACAATGGTTTTCCAGTTCAAAATAAAGTCAGTTTTTCAAATTCCTATCAGCAACTAACATTCATAAAATTACTTTATGGTATTGCAACAGTCCACTTCTTAGAGTCTAAGAAAGTCTGTTTTCTGTTAGAAGAGCTACCAATTGCATCTTAGTTACATTTAATGGCTAGTTTGCGACAAAATTTACGTAACCCGCACGTGGTTCCATTATGTTACCCAAGGACACTCATACAAAGATATTCTCTCTCATACTAATTTAGGATTTAAGAAGATATCTAAAATACGCGTATTCATGATTTAAGAGCTACCAACCAAGTTTTAACCAATTTTTTTTCTACAATTTTGTTTAACTTCAGATATTAGCTTCTGATAGTTCTCTGGGTTCATCAAAAAGGATTTTCCAAGAATTCTAGTACTGCATTGAACATCGACAAAATATATAAAAGATTCTTATATCTATCTTTCTAAACATTATTTTACTTATTTTCCATTTAAACTAACGATTTTAATTAATAAGCTGAATTAAAGGATATGAGGTGAAGATATAAAATTATAAACATGTTCATGAAATTCCGTCAAAGTATAGTATACGCTCTAGATAGTAATCGCAAAAGATTTGTATGGATGTAATCTCAGTAAAAACATCGTTTAAATATGCTCAGTATTTTATAATTTTACAAAAGGTTTTTTTTCAACAACAACTAGTCATATTGACTAACAAGAGGTTTTTTAATTTAATATTACAAGTATCCAAATTGAGCATATAGATCTGAGGAAGTCATCTCTTTGCTGGACAAAAGCTTCAAATGGTCCTTTGGTATTTTACAAAAAGGACTAATTAACTTCGAACCTAATTAAATAGTTTTAAATAATCTAAGAAAAAAAGGGTAGTAGTAGTGCAAAATCAAGACAGGCGTACTAAATAGCTGACGCAATATCTTAATAACAGATACCGAAGATGTTGCTCTGACAACTGGAACTTCAAGCCACTCCAGAGCCATCTGGAGCATGAAACGACAACCAACAAAAATATTTTACCACAAAATGGAGTTGCAAAATTGACATACAGATGAGACCATGGTACTAAGAGACCATTGTAGATTCCCAGTAATCCGTTGTTGTTTGAGGTTGTTTGTTTCGATTTTCTCGACAAATTTAGCATCGCTGAATTGTCCGCCCGATATCCACATCAATGTCCAGCTATCAGAAATGGATTCAGCATGAGATTTCTCTATACTAAACATCACGTTTTGGCTGTTAGTTCGGTGCGGTCGTAATATTATGCATAAAGCGTATAATTTTGATCAACTTTGCGAGAACATCCCTTTAACACCGAATTCAAAACATTAGAAAGGTCCGAATTTTTAATATTTTTAATGCAATTTGTTGACCACTGATTATAGCTTATAGGTTATACTGTTGAGTCAATCATATGGGTTTCTAATGGCGTCTCTGTTTTCATTAATTAGTCTACTTAACTAGTTAGTTTTGAAAAAACAGAGATAAGAAACAAGACAGTAAAAGTTGTAGTTATAATTACTTTTTAAACAAACATAATGATAAAATGATAAATTCTTTTTAAGCGTTTTGAGGACTTTTGAAGAATAAAGGTTTCTACTTATCAACTGTCATTCACTTTCATTATCTGTGTATTTCAATGCCCAATTATAATGTTTTTGCAAATTATATTGTATTGAATTAAAAATTATATATTGAACTGTTCATATATGCGTTAATCACTCAAATAATAAGTATCTCATTTAGTTAGAATGTTATTTTGAATAACATCCATTTCTAAAGAGTTTAATTTTATTATTTAATAAATTTAAACAAGGCAAACAATCATCCTTGAGCCCCTTTCTAACATATGGAATGTTACTCCTTTTTCAAATGCAGGATATTAAAGTCGGAAACGTTCTTACGCACGTTCAGTTTTCAAATCAAAACATTTTTTATGTAAGTTTTAATATTGTCTGTTCTACCAAACATTATAGGCAAACTCATATAGGCATTCGAGCTTTCCATAATTTCAATACGGTTTTACTTTACTTTTGACTTTGAACCACATCCTTTTTAATGATGTTGAAGATTAAATCCTGTTCTGCTCTTGTGTTCAACACTTTTGCGACGGTTGAAACTTTCGTGTGGGTCAGTTTCATTTTCAGAACTGAATAATGGCATTCGTTGTTGTTTTTTTTGTTTTTTTTTTGAGGTTAACAAAAGGATAATGAGTTTCTACCAATTGAAATTGTTTCGAATTTCAATAGCGTCTTAAAGGGTAATCAGGACAGTATTCAGTGCTTATTTAGTGTTCTCAGTAATAAGCATTAAAATCGTCATTTGATACTTCATCATTTGATACTTAATAAAGCACAGCACAGTAAATTTTAATATTATTTTCTTTTAAATTAATAACCTTTAACGATATTTGGCTATTGATTTGCAATGGGAAGACTATTAAATTTATGTCAGGGAATTAAGTTTATTTAACAAAAATATGCAATAATGTCTATTTAGAACTGTCTATTTAGAACTAAAGATATTAACTTTAACTTTATATATAAACTTACATATAAAAACCCTTGGCGATTTAGTGCTTTAATTTCGTTATAAGCAAATGGTTTGCAATTAAATTAATACTGCATATCGTAACACAATTTAATGCTCTTAAAAGATTTGCCAAAACATGCACACTACGTTGTGCTGGTATTTCATTTGCTTTATCAACTGATAGCTGCGTTCTCATATTTTCTAAAAAAAATTCACTTTGTTCAAATTCTTCAGTTTCAATGTGCCTTGCATGTCGCCTTCTTAAATTTTTTAAACAAATTGCACGTTGTTCTGGTATTTCATTGTTAATATATTTAGCTTGTTGGCAATGGCTAGTTTAATCCGCAATAAAAAAATTCATGATGTCACCTCTCTTTTTCTCTACCACTTCCTTTTTTTTTAAAAAAGACATGATTGAATAGCATCAAACACTCGAAACCACCAATAAGCGGATTATTGAGAAGCAAAGTATAACCACGTTGTGATCTCTAGCAATTAGTCTTAAAAGGTTTCTAAATTTTGATATTTCTTTTAAAAGCACATCATCACATAATTCATGATTAAACGATTTTTTATTAGAGATGAATGCCTAGATCTCTTCCTCACTTACCTCAAATATACTTCCTTTAACTCTTCTTGTCTCATCTGATGGTAAAAACTAAAACGAATAATACTCGAACATCTAGATTTCCTCTCCTATTATGTTCTCGCAAACAGAATCCAATATTTCTTGATTGTTTTCCTACCATTCTCTTTTTGTACTTTAATCTTTTCTCAGATCTTATTCTGGTTTATTTTTAAAAATATCAGAATATTTATTCAATTATACACTGTACTACATGGGTGCGTTTCTCAGACAGAACACATATAAGGTCTCTAACTTATTTGCCATTCCTGCTATTCATCTGCAGTAAAAGACGATCTTCCTTAAGCAAATTCATCCAACTGATATATAATAGTGAAATCTCCGACATCATACAAAAGACTTTGTGCTGTATTACTTGTGCCTAAATGTTGTCTAGAATCAGATATATACATATAAATAATAAATATAATTACATAGATGTATTTAGCATTTCCATTACAATAATAAATAAATATAATTTTGAAAATTTTCGTTTAGATTGTTTTTCTTATGAGATGGCTGATCAATGCGAAGCCAATAATGGAACTTACTATCTACGTAACTGTTATAACTCAAGCTACGCTGAGGAAAATAATATTACCGAATTGGCATTACATGCCATTAAGCGTCCTCCAGCAGAAGAGTACTTTAAGTAAGTTAGAACGCAGTGAAAAAAGTTCGATTTACCATAATTTATATGAATACATATATTTTCCGTACAGCAATTATGTACTGGGACTCTCAGCAGGTATCGAAGAAACGGGCAATATAAAAATCTCATTGGCCGCTTGTTTGTTTTGCGCTTGGGCTATAGTATTTCTCTGCCTCTGCAAAGGCGTGCAATCGTCCGGCAAAGTTGTGTACTTCACAGCTTTATTTCCTTATGTAGTGCTCGTTATATTATTTTTTAGAGGTGTTACGCTACCAGGTGCAGGTACTGGCATATTATTTTACTTGACGCCTGATTGGAAACAATTGGCAAATGCACAGGTTTGGGGAGATGCAGCTGTCCAAATTTTTTTCGCATTGAGTCCCGCCTGGGGAGGTTTAATTACTTTGTCATCCTATAATAAGTTTTCTAATAACTGCTATAAGTAAGTATCACTAAATAATCACAACAGACATATAAGCCTATGTATAAGTTTAATTTAATATATTTTTCTTTATTTCAGAGACTCACTTATTGTTGCTTTTTGCAATATAGCAACATCATTCTTTGCCGGTTTGGTCATATTTTCAATAATAGGTTTTTTAGCTCATGAATTGGAGGTAGAAGTGAAGAAGGTTGTTGATCAAGGCGCGGGTTTGGCTTTTATTGTATACCCAGAGGTAGTAACTAGACTGCCTGTGTCACCAGTATGGTCAGTGCTTTTTTTTGTGATGTTATTAACGCTTGGTTTAGATTCACAGGTAATTATAATAAAAAATTGAAATGAGGAGATAATACTATAGATGTTAAAAAAAACGTATTATAATTTTAGTTTGCATTGATGGAAACAGTAACTACTGCCATTTTGGATAAATTCCCAAACTTACGACAATATAAAACATGGGTTGTGCTTTTCGTTGGAATATTTGGTTATGTAGGTGGTTTAGGATTTACTACAAATGTGAGTGAAAATAAAATTTCCATTTTGAAACAAAACATCAAAGTAGACTAATAAATAAAGTTTTTATTGCTATCAATATTTTCAAACTGAATATATATATACCTCGACATTCCAATTAAATAACAACGTCTCTCTTGAATCAAAGAAACTGTCTCCAAGTCACTGAATACAGGAAAGACATGCCATTAGATTGGAACCTCAATTTAATAATTCTTGTCGGAACTGTGGCTCTGCGGATAAGGAGTAAACAGCACTCCACTTCATATATTAGTGTCCATCTCTAGCCAAAAGAAGAATTAAAGTATTTGGGTCCCTTTTCTTACCAACCTGACGCAGCTGTTATCCTACAATATTAGGTATTTGCAAATCGTATAGTCTTGTCTGGTTAATTTACTCTCACTTAAATGGGAAAGACAACATCAATCTTTCATAAACTCCTTACCAATTCTGAGTAGAACAAAAAAAATTTCATATCTTATTTCTGCAGAATAGAAAGTAAAATTTTCATCTAAAGCGGTATTAGTTCTTTACGAAGTTCTATTACTAATAATCCATAAATTCCAAGGAATTTATACTAGAATATATAATAGATCAGAAAATGATAGTAGATCTTTTCTGCTAACAACTGCTTCTAAACGAACTAAAAAAAATTATCAATATATCTCGTTGAGGAGTTGTTAATATAGAACTCATCTTCCTAGTCTAGTATTTTTATTCTGGCTCAAATAAAGTCGAATAGTCACAAAAAGTTATACACATTTCACCACTTCTCTGTGATTATAGAAATAACTTATTTTTAAATAGAAATGCAAGAAGTTTATACTACACGTATTAATATTAAATCCATAGTATATATTAAATGTTATTATTTAAATTATAATTTAGGAAATATGCTGAAGAGATAAAGCTTGAACTTAATTTATTATCGACTACTTAAAGAAGCAATAAATGCATGGATAATAGTTTTGAACGCTGCTAGAGTGGTCCCGATATCAACTTAAATAATTATTATTAATTATCTTTCAGAGCGGCATGTATTGGCTGCAGTTAATGGACAAATATGCTGCCAATTGGTCAGTGCTGTTGATTGCGATTTCTGAGTGCGTCCTTATAGCTTGGATTTATGGCTCGCAACGATTTTTAAATGATATACAGGGTATGATTGGTAAACGCTCAAAGTTTTGGAATTTTTTTTGGTCGACAATGTGGAGGTTTATAACTCCAGCAACATTATTGGTAAGAATATTAAATAAACATTATTTTTTAAATTGAATAACACATTTAGAAATACAGTTATTAAAAACTTTGCCGAATAACATTAAGATTTAAGATTGTTAAAAGAATTTTTTGAACATTTTTACATTACAGTTCATATTATTCTTTAACTGGGTAGAATATAAGCCCGCTTCTTATGGTCACTATGTTTATCCACTTTGGGCTGATGCGGTCGGATGGATAGTTGGCTTATTACCAGTATTTGTTATATTTCTAGTAGCATTTCAGCAGATCTATAAAGCGCCTAAACACTTAAAGTTCCGTGAGAGATTGAAGTATTTGCTTCGTCCAACTGCAGAATGGGGGCCAGCAGGCAGACCTTGCGTTAATTTACATGCTGAACGATATCAAAGTCAAAACTACGACGATGTTGCAAACACCGATATACTTATCGCTGGGCTACCCGATGTATCACCCTATGATGAAAATGGCGGCAATAGCTACCGTAATGAGGCGATGCAACTCTGAGAGCGGGTTACATCATCGTCGAAAACCGGTGGCACTATTGTACGCATAAGTGTCGGTGATACCAGCGACGATGATAATATCATTAAAGATAGTAGAACAACAGATGATAACAAAACAAGCGCAATTATATTCAAAAACGGCAATGGCCAAAATATAGTTATGACCACATCTGCTCCAGCAACAATATCGAAACCAGGTCCGAGTATATTAAAAACTTCTAAAAACAATCAAACAATTAATGGTAAACACAAAACAACCGGACCTGATAAAAGTCCAAGCAAGCAGCCACTAATACAAGCTGAATTAAGAGCAAATGATAGTATTGGATCCTTCCTAAATGAGACATCAAATCTGTTAAGAAAATCAGAGGGTGAGGTAAAAATTACAAAAGTTACTGCCACAATAATGTTGCCTACCCCAGCTGTGGAACCAACAGCAATAGCGTCGAAAGCAACAACTTTTGCAACAACAGCAGTAACTGCAATGCCTAAAGCGACGTCTACTAAAGATCAATTAACTTCGTTTATGCCAAGTACACCAGCGACAACAAAAATACTCGCAACAGGTACATCGAGTAGTGGCAGAGAGCGCATTTTAACAACATTTGGGGACCGCAGCCAAACGACAATTTCTTTAGCAACGACTATAGCAACAAGTAGAACAGCCCCCACAATTGCAGCAGAAAACGCAACGAAAACTATAAATACTTCCGGCGGAATGTTGCCACCATCAAAACCAATTCCAATAAATACCAATTTTACAACAATAACAACATCCACGAAATCCTCAGCTTACACAACATTTGGCCCGGCTGCACCAACTGCGACCACTATAACGCAACCAACTAAAATAGCACCAACAAAAGTGGTCGAAATGAATGTGAAGCCAATCACAGCTACAATACAAAAACCAACAACATTCTCTACCACATACACAAGCACATCTACCACAGTTGGAAATACAATAACCGGGTCAACGGCGACATCGACGACAACTGCAACAGCAACAACAATAGGTCCAAAATTAAATGGCAATATTAGTGCATTCACGACTACACAACTAACGGCAATCGTATCCACTACAACAGTCTCTAGACCGATAGCAACTTCTGATCCGAAAACTGTTGCATCCACAACAGTTCAAGAAGCAACAGCAATGAGAACTAGCGCAGCATCAACACCCGTTAATAAAGCAGTAAAATATAATGCAGCCTCTAAAATAGATACCAAAGTAGCAACAACAGCAGTCACTAAACCAACTATGGTCTCTTCGTCTGATATCACTTCAAATACAATTGCTACTACATCAAACACTACAACAGCACATAAAACTATAACAACTACAACAATTGTACCAACAAAACATAGCAAACCTACAACTGCAGCGACTACAACAGCTTCAAACACAATTGCCACCACAAGTATCGCTACGACTGCAAAAGTAGCAAATCAGAGCAACATAGCTACTTCAACACAAGCCACAAAAACGCTTACTACAACAGCAGCAACAGTGAAGCAAGACCTGACCAGCAAGCCAGTCTCAGTAACTTCTTCCACAACCATCCCAACGAAATCAGATAAAAGTACAGTCATGCCTTCAACGTCAAGCTCAGATACGAAGCCAACAACAAAAGAAGTCCACACAGCAGTCCAACCAGCAGCAACACATACTACATTGCCTAAGACAACGTCCACATCCACCACAGCACCCATTGCAAAAGCAACAACAGTTTTAAAACCCACACCAGCAACAGTACCATCTGCTATTGGAGCGAAACCAATCGCCAGTTCCACAGCAAAATCCACAGTCACAACTACAACTACTGCAACAAAGGCAACCTCTATTGCTTCCACATCAAAGAGTGGAACTACAGCACCAGCAGTTCATTTAACTGGAAGTACACCAAATACCACAACCATAACTGCAAACACAGCAACAGCGACAGCGACAGCAACAGTGAAAGCAACAACTACTACAAGACCCACTGACACAAGTACCACAAAAAAAACAACAAATATCGGTAAGAAGTAAACTAAACTATTTTGTTAAATTTTATTTATACAAGGAACGGTTGGGAAGAAACATGAAAAATATAACGCAAAAAAACCGATCATTGTGTTATAAGAAATAAACTGCATTAAGAGAAAATTTTTAAATACATTTATCTAGTCTCAAGTTAAAATAATAATACAATATTATTATAATAATTTAATTTTTATTTACGCCGCTTCATCAACGCAAAACCATTGTCAAGAACGTATTCCTAGAAGTATCAATTGTTAATCGATTGTTCCATTAATATGTAATTAAAGTACCTAACAAGAAAGAGAGAAAGAAGAGAAAGAAAATGAATATATACTAAACTAAATATATTTTGAAATAAATATATATATATAGACAAAATATTTTCATTTTTAAAGTTATGAATCAAAAACTATGTGTTGAACACATATAATATACACACATGAAATAGTTAGATATATGTACAATTGTTGAAATTAATTGTTATTTTCAAACAGTTTTTAGGAAAATATTTATACATTAAGCTTTATTTAAATATTTTTTATTTTAAAGTATCTTACAAGTTATTTATATACGGAATATACACCCTTAAGTTTGTAAACAGTAGTAAAAAGATAGTCAGTTATAATAAAGTATAGAGATAAGTCACTACAAATTAAATCGTAAAGAAAAATTTAAATGTTTTTTATATGAAACAAAATTGAAATGAATTTTAAGTAATTTGGTAATGAATTTGGGGTATCAGGTTTGAAACATAAAAATATAGGCATTAAATAATTTTAAGACTTCATAAATAATGTTACTATGCAATCATTGAGTCTTTAAGACTATTCATGATGATATTCATGATGCGTTGGAAGGACTGTACTATAATAGGTCTGTAGGTAATTTTCTGGAAAATTTGCGTAGTGTTACTCAAAGCTACTACGAGTAGCTTGTGAAACAGACCTAATATATGTAATGAAAAAGCGCTTCTAGAGTTAAGTTAGGAAGTGTAATATTCCATATATTGTATTTGTAAGAAATTCTGGTGACCAATTTTTAAACTTTTAACAGAAATAAAAAATTTTAGATTTATTTCAAACGTCCTTAGTAATCTTATATATATAATTCTTCTGTACGTGTGTTGACAGTGAACTCCTCCTAAACGGCTGAACCGATTTTGATGAAATTTTTTGTGTGTGTTCAAGTGGATTCAAGGAAGGTTTAGATTCACAATTTGGCCCACTGGATAATGTCTTTTCAATCAATTTTTTATTTTTTGCTATCCATATACATTTATATTAAAAATTTAAAATTTATTCATGCTTACTTTGATTTGTTTAAAAACTTTAAAATCTCTAAAATGAATTGTAAAACTGCCCTTGCATAGCTTAAGTGCATTTAAATTCCGCAGCATAATTATAGGTGAGCCAATTTTTAATCTTAAGTTATGTGGTGGTATTCCTGGTAAATCCAGCGAAATTCAAAAATTCAACACACAAAAAAGAAGAATTATATATATAAAGATATAAATATCGTACAAAAAACAATGCCACGTCTTCGTGGACGAGGAGGAAATATTGGTCGACGGACTCGGAATTCACAATTACTCCAGAACCGTCGGTTAAATAGATCGGCAGAAAACAATGAAGATGTAAGAAACCAGGATACAATTACACGTGCTAATGAAAGTCAAGAGCAACGCAACGAACGCCAGGAAAATTAATTGCAAGGGGAAACAACGTTCGCCGGGTCAGCTAGTATTTTATTAAATTTTTGTTTCATTGTTTAAAGATCAGCAATAAACAGAATAATAATAGCAACAGAAGTTGTTGTTTGAAGTTGTTTGTACCAAATAAACGATCATGTCAAAAGCCCGCACAACGGTAGCTAATATCTCTCCCTTTAGTACAATTATATTTAAAAAAAAAACCAGCGACTGCTATGACTTAATGGTATAGCATAATCTGTATCTCATTAACAAGACATAAGTTTACCAGTAGGTAAACTTAAGCCTAGTACTAACTTCCACTTCACATAAATTTTTAAAGAGGTTTTTCGAACAGTAGTGAACTACAACAACAAAAATAATTCATTTCATATTATTTTAATTAATTGAATTTTTATCTGACTATATAAACCAATCTTTTTAATATCTAAAATTATATATATAAATAAATGAACACATACTATATAAAATAATGAAAAAACTAAGGCTCTGTTTATTACGCGTATATCGAGACAGAACGGGTCGAGAGTGAGAGTAAGAGTGCGAGATATGGTTATAAACTGGGAGGATAACATTAAAAATCTAGGCATCACGATGGACAAACGATTCACATGGCTTAAACATGTTCAATTAAAAAAAATTAGCTGTGCCAAAAATCTTCATCACCTCCAACCACTATTCAAAAATGAAAATCTCAATATTAAGAACAGGAAACTGTTATATAACCAAATAATTCGACGCTCACTTCTATATAAATGTGTAGCGTTCAGCTAGGCCTCAAACACTACTATTCACTAGCTAGAAACTGCACAAAGCCAGGTTATAAGAAGACTTTTCAAGGTACCGAGGTACATTAGGACAAATGACATCCTCAGGGACCACAAGATAGATACGATCAAAAAATACATAAAGGTTAGAAACCTGAAATTATGTACGAAAACTGACAGCCTTACCAACATCGCGTTATCGAATCTCAAAACGATTAGAAGCTTCTCGGGGTGGTATGTAGATTTGAGGTCAATTATTGCTTAGTCTGATAAAGTGATAAACAGTAATCCAGTCAAGGGGTAGAGAGGGGTTATGAAGAAACCTCGCAGTTAATAGAGAGCAAAAGTGCACAAGTGCACTGACTCAACTAGCCTCAACATAATAAACATTAAAAATAATACATTTATGGAATAATCATTTCCTAATATTTAAGTCATATTGATTTATTATTAAGCAACAATAATATATACTTGAATACTTTATTTATGAAGTCTTATTTATTGAAATCTACATTTTCTAAAAACTATTTAAATGCCAAATTAAAAGTAATTTTTATCATGTTTATAGCTCAATATTTAACAAATTAAAAAAAATTTTCAATTCTTTCTGAAGACATTTGAAATGTTTGATTTAATTATTTAATATTATATATTATTCATATATATTTCACAATTTATGAAGAGGTTCAAGAATTTTTAAAAAAGATAAATTTTTTAATAATAGAGGCTGATATTTGAATATAAGACACATATGTATATGAATATATGAACTATTTGATATAAATTTATATGCCTATCGATTTTCTTGCCCTAGAGACCTGATGCCCTCTACTCATTCCATTAGGCTTTATTTCTAAATCAGGCGGTGACTCATGCACGGTGACTCATGTAATTGAGAAAGTTAACTTAGAATGTAGATTTGTACTAGTGATTTTGTTACAATTTATTTACAATATATATATATGTATATTTTGATAGAACATATTTGTATGGGGCATTATGAAAGTAAGGTTATGTGTTGTATTTTAAAAACAATGTAGTGTGTTAAACAAATTGAATATATATATTCATACTCATACAAAGTATTATGATGAAACTACAGTATTATAAGGTAAGAAATGAAAAATATTACATAAAATATTTACATAGGTATATAAAATGTAAGCTGAAAATACCGGTTGGCAAAGGACCAACCCAAAAAAATTCTGAAGCAATGAAACAGTTTGTTGAAACTATATTGAACGAATAGTTGTGTTAAAAGTATTAAATTTTTTATTATTTAAAATATATTCATGTATATATAGAAAACAATTTAAAAAATGTTATTTCTTTGAGTTCTTAATATATATGTATATAAAAAACATACATTACAGAATAGCATACCAAAATACAAACTCAAGGTACTGGCTACCTAGCCTTACAACTCAACTTTCTAGTAAATAATTGTTTATTTTTTTTAATATATAATACAATATATTATTTCAAAATTAATTAAAATAATATTAATATAAACTTTAAGATGTCCGAAATTTTTATTTTTACAAAACAGACTTACATTAACGTCCTGAATGAATTGTATACATATATGGTAATATTATTGAACCTTAATTTTATTATCATTTTAATATTAAAACAAAGAATTTCGATTTATATATAAAAGACGTAATATTAATATTATCCTGATTTTACATTATAGAATCTAAACCCTAAGTATTTTAAAGGAGAGACTCGTGTACCTTTAAACAAAATACCTAAAATTCAATGCAATGTTTAAAAATACATATTTTTAATTACTAAAATTTATCTATATGTATAAACATATATGTATAATTAGAGCAAAAAGAATATTTTAAATATGAAGTAAAAACAAAAACATTATTATATGTGTTTATATCTAAGAAACACAAAGGGAAGATAAGTAAAATATATAAAACTATATAAACAATTTATATAAGGAAATGATGTTATTAGTGTTATAGAAAGTTATTGTATGTGTGTTGCCTCAAAACACTTAGTAATATAACGAAATTACCTATGTACTTAGTTATATATATAAAATACATTAAAAATATTTATATACGTTTATATGCTATAGAGTTTATATATGTTTGTATGTTGTATTTGTAGTTAGTGTGTATATGAGTATATACACGTATATATTACATTTAATGTTTTTAAGCCAAATATATGAATAAAATGAAAAATATTGTGATATTTCATTTAAATTAATAATAATTTGAATAAATTTAATTAAAAAATTTTAGACAGAAATTAAGTTAAATAAAAGAATGAATTTCTGTTGTGTGTACTTATTATAACAAAATTAATTAATGTTATTAAACTTTTCAAAATGTGTAGTTTTGTTTATAATATTATACGTTTATTAGTATATAGTCTCACCTAGTAGATTTTAAATTTGTGTGAACACTATTAAATATTGTACCTAAATGTTGTGCTACAAAAACAAAATTAAAATAATATCAAATGTTATTTTTTATTAATCCAATTTATAATTTTATATAATATAATTATTATTGCAAACAGTTTTCTATATATATAAAATATAGAAAATATTTGTTTTACAATTAACCCTTCCGATATACGTAAACCTAACCCAACTTACTTATATACTTTTTAATATTAGTTTAGTTTTACCTTATATTGTTTAGGAGATCCTCTACACCACAGCTGTCCAAAGCACGGCCAGCAGGCGTCATGTGGCCCGTGGCTAATATATGTGCGGCCTGCGACATGTTTCTAATCTACCACAATTGGGAAAATTTTTCTTTGTTATATTTTAGTAACATCATATTATTTTATTTTCATTATATCCCAAATATATTAAAAATAAAATATGTTTACTATGGCATGTATTTACGTATGTATTTATTTCTGCGGCTCTCCAACCTATTCAATGATTTACATTGGCCCGCGCACTTGTCTAGTCAGGACAGCCCTGCTCTACACCAAGCTTTTTCAATTGATAGTGTCCGAACTATTAGCACCATCGATCTAATACATAATACATCGGTCTATACATTTTTTGAGAACATATAAATAAATATTTTTTAAAATAATATAATAAAAGACAAAATAAATTTATTAATAAGTATAATAATTACTTAAAATTTAATAAGTTTATAAACTATTTAAAAAATAATCAAGTATATAATATAATATAAAAATAACAAAAAATAAAATTTTATTGTATAATAGAAATGATTAAAAAACAATAACTTAATAAGTTTATAATCTGTTTAAAAAATAAATAAATATCAAATATAATAAAAATATAACAAAAAAAAAATAATTTTATTGTATAATAAAAATTGATTAAAAAATAATATCGTTAAACATGAAAATATAAGGTTGATATATTTTGTATAATTTTATTTAAAATAGTTAATACTAAAACACATATTAATATGATGAATTTAATATAATTAAAAATATTATAATTTTTAATTTTTATTTTTAATTATATGAAAATACTCTAAGAAAAATATATAATATTTATAGACCGGTGGAACTCATGAAACGTTCCATATGCATATCTAAATATTTTTCATTTGTCTGAAAACTTCATTAGGATCATTTAATATATTTTTGTATTAGTTTATTTAAAAATTAAATAAAAAATTTTCATTAATATATTAATTTAATTAAATTTTTTATCCTCTACATATTATTTAATTAATCTTTAATTCATATAATATTTTTTTATATAACATTTGAGCTTTACCTGAAGTATTAGCCTGTACCTGTTAATAATTAAGTAACAATAAAATATGTGTGTTATATTATAAAATGGCTGTTAAAAAATATATTAGCATAAGTAAATATATAAAAAAAGACAAAAAATTTATCAATAAAAAAGAAACATAAAATGTTGTATATTATGTGTTATGTGAAAAAAAAAACAAATAAAGAATTAATCAAACCAAATATTAGAAACCGTAAAGAATTATTTTAATTTAAAGTATAAAATGTTGTTGATTTTATTATTAAATGTTATTAATATAAAATCTTAGACTTGATGTTAGATAATAAGTATATAAAATATAACTAAGTACTGAAAATTATATAAAACCACTATAAGAAATGACATATTAGTAATTTGTACAGCATAGAATAAAATAAAATATACGTACATGTATATATGTATGTATTAAGTCAATTCAGTGCATTATAAACTGAAACTCTAGGAATAGAAAAATATAATATTAATAGTAATAATAATAATAATAACAGTAATAAAATTAATATTATAAAAATTTTTTATTTTAATATTTATAATCTCAACAAAATTTATTTTGTAACTTTTTATCTGTTTATGTTCAGGAAATTCTTTAATATGTATAGAATATATTAATTTGAATTTTTAAAATTTTAAAAATAAAATTCATATTTGTAAGTATTTATATTGTAAGCAGTTTTAGTTTTAAATTTATTTTTTAATGAGGAAAGTCAAAAAATCAATTTAAATAAAAATATCTTACTGAAAAATTTTTTTTCATCTTTTTATTTATTAGTTTTTAATTTTTAATTTATTTCATATATGTATTTATTTTATATACAAACATTTTTTCAACTTTTTATTTATAAATTTTTAATTTTTAATTTATTTTATATATGTATTTATTTTATATACAAACATTTTTTCAACTTTTTATTTATAAATTTTTAATTTTTAATTTATTTTATATATGTATTTATTTTATATACAAACATTGCTAGCGTTTCAAAAATTATTTGACTACGTTATCAGGGCAAAGTATTATACCACTTCTGATAGAGAAATAATAATATACTATTAACCCCTTTTTATTAATAGATATTAAGTTTGTTGAGTTTAATTAAAATTAACATTAAATTAATTTTTTTTTTTTGGTTTTATACAACCTTGATTGTACAATCATTGTTGTATATTGTTTATATATTGAATAGTAGTTAATTTATTGTTTATTTAAAACTAAGTTTGTGAACAGATTTCAGTATAAATAATAATACTCCGCCCTGACGAAAAAGTCAAATAAATTTCGAAACGTAGGATATATTTATATGGAGAACTATATAAATGAAAATATAAAAATAAAAACATATTTGTAAGCTTTTATTTTATTCACAAAATTTATTCATTTCAACTAATGTTATACCTAATATATAAAATTATTTACTATTAAAAAAATAATAATTTAAACAATAAAATTTAAAAACTAAATCGATATAGTTACAAATTTAAAAGGTAATATTATTATACATTTTTAAAAACATTTCATATCCTAAAAATATGTATGTAAAATGCATAACAAACTACACCCACCTTCAACAAATAATAGATGTTAAAAAAATTCTCAATTGATAATTTGAAATAAAGTATAGATATATAATGCATTTAAAAATTATTCAAACACAAATATAGAGAGAAATAATATTTT